GTATTTCACATCTAAATCCCATTTTCTGTAATGATCCAAAATTATCCTGCATTGTGGAAAAGTAGCTAAGAACAAGCCCTAGATAAATAGCATAGTCTCATGCTGAATGTTGAGTCTTGTCCTAGGCACTGCAGTACAAAAAAAGATCTTACAAAAATAGAGAGAGTGGAATTGGTCATAGCCCTGGTGTCATATTTGGAGCAGAAGAGGATGAAGAGTTAAATGTGGTTGCTAAAAATGAAGGATAACCACTAACAGCTCTAGAAAAAGAGTTGATGTTAAATTGCACATTGTTCTTTCATTATCATACCTTCATCTTCATTGCCTAAGTACATTTGATGTGATTACATAACAGTACATTTAAAACTAATAAATAATGCAGCAACTCACATAAAATAATAGGAAATCATTGATGTAAAATAGGTCTTGTAGAGCTGAATATTAGAAGAAATCTGCCTTAGTCCAAGTGAGGCTGGGAAAGAAGAAAGCCAGAGGGTGGGACTTGAGAGGTGTGGAGTCATCAGGAAGGATTATTTCTGTTTAAGGGAGGTGAGAGCACAGAGATAACAGAGGTACCATCTACAGCCTCCTTTCCTTGAAACCTGCATGATCCTGTGGCTTTCTCCTGGCCTCCCTCTATGCTTTGAAGCTGAGATGGAGCCTGTTTTGGAAATAGAACTGAGCATAAATGTCCTGCAGTCAGGGACATTACCTGCTGAACTCTTCACATTTGGGGGTTTTGAAGTCCTCTGCTTATGCTTGTGGAGGAGGTGGAGAGGAGGAGTGGTGCTGCCCACTGGAAAGCTGTGATTCAGGTATCCCTGGCTGTGTCTGGGGCTGGCCCATAAAACTCTTCTCGCTGGTATTTGTTCTTTTCACCCTGCTGATGCATTGCTGCAGGTGGCTGGAGGGCTAATCTTTCCTCTGATGTGTCCTCAGGGTGCCCAAATGAGTTTCAGGAGCCTCTGCACTTTCCAAAGGATGAGAGTGCTGTTTTCATTTAATGGCAGTTGACTCTCCAAGGAGGTGGATGATTTCTGGTGACAGCCAGAGGTGTTGTCAGAGCAAGTGTAACTCTGGTTCCCCTTATTTACAGCCTTATTTTTAGACCTACTGGTACTACTGTAGACTAGAATGCTGTTGGCTTCAGCTGGGTTCTCACGAATTTTGACAATACTTGCCAGCTTAGGGAGGTGGAATAGACCTCCTCATCCTGCATCATTTGCCATCCTGGGTTTTATTTGAGTTGGGGAGGTCCTGAATGCCAGGTGGCTGTAGCACCTCAGGCAGTGGGGCTCCAGCTCTGAAAAGAAACTGGGGAAGTCACTTGACTTCTAGATGCTGAGACTTACCAAAGATTGTGGTTAATATCAAATAAGAGTTGCTATCTAATAAACAAGCTTCGTGTGAGAATTCACAAAGATAAATAGCAGTGATCCTTCAGCATCACTTAAATTCTGAGATCAGTGAGCCTCTGGAAACAGCCCTCCCCCTGCATCCAGGCAAATGGGAAGGTGGGGATCCTGGGCTCAGCACTGCGGGGTGATTGATGGGCTGTGTCAAGGCTTGATGAGCAAACCAAGAAAACCTTGTGGGTTTATGGACTTCATATCTAAGTGTGCATAACTTAAAAGCATTAATTATCTGCAAAGCTAAGAAATTCCTTGAGAACTGTGCAACACTTGGCTGCTGGTGGAGCCTGCAAGCCATAAAAGCTGCAGTTAATGATAAGGTTTGTCTTCATGTCGTGGTTAATGAAAGTGTGTGGGTGTGGGGCACGTGACCATGACAGGAGCACTGCTACAGCCCAGTGTCTGCTTATTCTGCTTTCTCTTCTGCATTGAATGTATTTTCATGTATCTGTTGAATTTTTTAGGTTTATTTCTTACACAGCATCCTTTAGCTGGCATATTTTAAATACTCCAAGAACGCTTTAAAATGCATTTATAATTTACCCCATTTTTGGTGATGTTTGTTTGCATGGTGGTCTCATCAACAAAGAAGCTGTTCATTCACAGCACAGCTTTATCATGGCTTTAGACAAAAGATTAGGTGGTGCAGTTAGGGGTACAAAACTAGAAAAAAATCTTGGAACCTGTTGAACAAAAATGGGTTGTCTTGACCATTACTCTGTGGGACACTACACAGGTAAATTGCTAACAGAGACTTTTTTCTCATCCTGTGTTTTTTAGCTTGGTTAGGTCAAAGACTTTTCAAAGCAAGGCATTTGGCTTTTATTCTGTTGTGAAAAATGATGAATCCATGAGTAGCCTTTTAGGGGAGGCCAGCCATCAGCAGATGGCTCAGGAAGAAAAGGCAAGAGCAAGCACATAGTAATGTGTCCCCAAATATTGCAGGGCCTTCTGTGGGTCAGGGTGTTTTTCGACTGTACGAGATGTCTTTGGTAATCTGTGATGGATTTTTTTCTTTCTTGTATTTCTCCAGTCCCTTTTTGAGTCCAGGTAAACTTTTACATTTTGTCCTGTGTTCTACAGCTTAATTATATGTGAATGAAGAAATAATTGCTCTTTGGTTGTTCTGAGTTTGGTAGTTCCACCCGTTACCCTCTAGCTCTTCTATTGGAAGAGGCAGTAAACAATTTTTCCCTGTTCACCTATTTCAGGTATCCAATCTTTGTAAGCTTCCATTACATTACTACCTTCAGCTGATGTACCCAAACATACACACTCACTCCTCAAACAGAATTTTTCCTCTTGCTTCTTGCCAGTTTTGCCCTTTATTTAGTCCTTAACAAAGGGCACTGATTCAGTCATGGCATCCCTACTGGTTTAGGGCTGTAACCAATTCACGTGAGTATAACTGAGATTCCTCAGTGTTTTATTTCTTGCCACTGTGGCCTCGCTGATCTGGGCACATCATTGTCACTGCCACCACCTGAGCCTGTAACTGTCTTCAGTGGGAACTTTTTTCCTGTTTTAGACACAGAATTTCTGTCCCCAGTGACACTTTCATTACTTCTTGCTGTTATCCTGTTCATTCTGTTTAAGCAAACGCTTTCTTTTAATGGTCTCCTGCTTGTGCACTGGTGGTGTGATTCGTCCTGCCTTTTCTGCACACTTTTTATCCCTGCCCACAGCATCCAGTTCTCCTCCTTTCACTGACTGTCCAACACATCAGTTAGATCCGTATCCTCATCTAAATTCAGTGTTTGATTCCCCTGACCTGTTCTCTTCAGGTGATTTTATGCAAAACCAGTTGTCTGCTATCGTGCTTTGAGAAGACAAATGATGGTTTGGTGATGATTCCGTTCCCAGGTCTGTTCAGCTGTGGGAGACTGAGGGGAGACCTCATTGCGGATACACCTTCCTGGGCAGGGGCAGAGGAGGGGCAGGGACTGAGCTCTGCTCTGGGGGGACCACGGACAGGACCCAGGGAATGGCTGGAGCTGTGTCAGGGCAGGCTCAGGTTGGATCTCAGGCAAAGGTTCTTCCCCCAGAGGCTGGTTGGCACTGCCCATGGCTCCCCCCAGGGCAGTGGCACAGCGCCCAAGGCGGCCAAGCTCCAGGAGGGTTGGATGATCCTCTGGGGCACAGGGGGTGACTCTGTGGGGCTGAGGCCTGTGACTAAGGTTTACGGTTGGACTGAATGATCCTGGCGGGCCTCTCGGCAACATTCTCAAGGATTCCCTCGGACGGGACAATCCCAGCCCGGCCCGCGCGCGGACACGCCTCCGTGCGCCTCAGGGAGCCGCGCCGCGCCCCGCAGCACTGGGACGCGCCCCGGATGGGAGGGGAAGGGGGGAGCGAGCAGCCGGAGCGGCCGCTCTCGCGAGAGCCAGGCGGAACGCCCCCGCGAGCCTTTGTGCGCGACGCCCGCCCGCGTCCATGTTTTGCTGGTGACACTCCGGGCCGGCGGACGCGGCTCCGCCGGACCCCCCCCGCACCGACCCGCCACCGGCCCCGGCCCCGGCCCCCGGCCCCCGCCGGCGGCCGCCCCCAGCGCGGCCACTCCGGGCCCCGCCGCTCCCGCCGCTCCCCGCCGCTGCCTGGTGAGCGCCAGCGGCCCGCCTGCGCCGGGGCGCGGCAGGGCGGGAGGCCTGGGCTCGGCCGACCCCCTCAGAGCGCCAGGAGCGGGGCAGGGCCGCGGGGAGGGGCAGCGGGGGCAGGTGGGCCCACGCGCAGGTGGCGGTGCCCTGTTGCTGAGGGGGGACGGAGGGACGGGCGTCCTCCGGCAGCGCTCGTCCCTTCGCGGGGGCTTTTTGTGTCCCCTCGGAGCGGTGTGAACGGCACGAAACCCGCGCTGTGCCCCGGCCGCGCGCCTCCCAGCCCGTGCTTTGCTCCCGGAGCCTCGCGAACGCGGCCCTGGCGTGACCGTGCGTTTCCCCTGAGTGCTGGATGCATCCCTGGCTCCGTGCATCCGAGCTGGACCCGGCTGGTGCCGCAAAATCCCCTGTAAGATGTGTCACGTTGGCCTCCGTCGGCTCCGGGCACGGCTGGGGGTGTTCCTGCACCTCCGGACCTGTCAGCACACGCCGTCGGCTCCCGGGGCCTGTTCGCTGACCCTTGCTTGCAATACTGAAGAATTGTGTGTATGCTTTTACTCAGAGGTGGTTCATTTTGTATTCCAGAGCGATATCCGAGCAGGTGTTTTGCTGTGGTTTTGGTTTTTATTGTTTTGGGTTTTGTTGCTTTGTTGGGTTTTTTTTAACCGCATATGGCCAATTTTCTTTAGAAGTTCCTGTATATAAGCTGCTTTTCATGGGGTTTTTTAGGGACAGAACCCTACTGTGCTCTCTCTCTCTCCCTTTCACAGTGCACATAGGAGTGGTTTAGTGCAGTTGTTGAGCATCTTCATCTTGTGTTGTCACATGTCTGAGCTGATTGCTCCCTCATGGACTGGTCAATTTGCTGTAGCTGGACCATGTGCTCTATATACAGATATACTTACAGGTGTGTATACACGTGTGGTATTGCCTCAGGGGGTCGATCAGATCTGTAGCTCAGCAGAGTGTTCTGTGCTGTTATTTCTTGACAAAACCTCAAAGCTGCGAGTTTACACCTGCTGAATTTAGTGCTCCTTCCTAGAGGCCCCACATGTCCCACATCTGCTCCATGGCTTGGGGATGTGGACTGAGGAGGACTTGGAACTCAGGGGTGAGTCTCTCAGAATTATGGGGAAAACGTAACAGGCATTTAACCTGCAAAGGTGGACTGTACACCTCGTCAGACTGCTGCTGCTTCCCAGTGGTCTAAGAGGAGTCTGTTAATTTTGTGTGGAGGATTGAAAGCTGTGCAATGTTGTGCTACAGGACAGAAAGGCATTGCCAGTCTCCTGAGTCCCTGCACCTGTGAGGAATTTGTTAGGTGGCTTTATGCACAGTGGTTGTGTCTCAGAATTAAACTCCTTCTCTCTGAGTATAAAACCTGTACATGTTTGAGGATTTCCTCTCTGCTCTTCTGTTGTTATTTAAATATGTCATGTATGTTTTGTTCTTTGCCTGAACATTAAGAATAAACATGTTTTTGTGGTTGGAAGTGTGTAAGTTGAGGGGGAAGTGGGGGTGTTGAAATTTCTTTATGGAAACTGTGCAAAGGAGGTATTTATCTAATTGTTAGTTAAGGATAATGGATGTAAAGTATTTGACTTATTTTTGCCGAAGGACTGCTCGGCGTAGTAAGAATATAGCACAGCATTTTTTTATTCATTTAATCCTTGACCTGAAAAATAGTTTATCAGTGAAAGCTGCTCTTATTTCAGAACGGAATTAAATGGATAGTAGTTGATTAGGAAAAGGCTTAAGTGGACAGGCTAAAGATCTGAGTTGTTTTTTGTCTTTACCAATTTCAGGTAGTCATGGTCTTTCTTTTTCAAAGAAAGCAGTGCAGGGGTGCTCTGCATGTTTTAAAGTACCACTGATGATGGAGTGGGACCTTTCTATGGATGGGGAAAGCTCCACGTGGATTTGTGTTTTGGTAGTAAAATGAATAAAGTATATACATTTAAGTACTTTTGATTAAGACACTCTTAATATTCCAGTCTTTCTTTCTGTTTTTAGTGTAATTATTCTTGTAATACTCATGGGGAAGAGAAGCACTTTTATCCCCATTTTAGAAATAAGTAATGGAGACAAAAATATGTATTTCAGGAAGACTTGGTGGAGCAGGCCTTTGATTTCTGGTCACAGGTTGTTATGAAGTCATTATCCTTTCAATACTGTCTTCATTTGGGTCCTGTACAGGTACCTTACCTTCCTCTTGAGAGGTTTTTATCTTGGTCTGCTGTTTTAGTTTGGTGTAGGGTGCAATTCTCTCTGGCTGGTTTGACTTCCTGATGTCAAAGTCACCTCGGTGACTGGTGAGTCCTGTGTTGGTTGTGTTTCTTTCTCAGAAACACTCAAACTCTCAGATTGCTGGTAAGTTTTGTTTTTGTCTCTCCCTGTAGCGAGTGAGGGTCATGTGGAACAGCCAAATCTAGTCGGTGTTTTGTCTTTACAAACATGTAAAGTATCGCTCAGAAAAGGAAGCTCTGCTGTCGTGGGGCTGCTTGAAATAACCGGCAGTGGTGCTGCAGCTGCTCAGGGGCACTGTGGTCACTCACAGCTACCCTGGTGAGTTCTGAACGGGGAAAAATCCCAAAGCCCAGCCTGGAACCCAAGAACTGTGGAATTTGCCAATCCACAGCCAGTGTAACTGTGACCTTGGAGCTGGCCAGGTATATTCCCTGGCCTGGGCTGCCTGTTGTGATCGACCTGATGTCATCATGTTAGTTGGGAGGAAATTCAGGTGGCTCAAGCAATCATGTTCTCTGCTGGAAGCTGGAATTAATTTGCTGCTTAAAGAAGAGCCTGCAGCTTGAGTCCTCCTTACCACTAATAATAATTGTTTTGCTGTCAGGTCTGTATGATACAGAAATTTCATTGTCAAAACATTTCCTTATTGACAGAAGTTTCTTTTTCAGTCAGTTATACCTGGAGTACTCTGAGGCAAGAAATATAAGTGTTACCTGAAAGTGTTAACGTGAAGGGGCATCCACAGCTTGCTGGGCAACCTGCTCTGGTATCTCACCACCCACTTTATTAAAAGTTTCTTCTTTATATCCAATCTAAACCTGCCCACTTTCATTTTAAAACCCTCACCTCTCAACCTGTCACCACAAGCCCTGATAAAAGGTATGCCTCTTTTGTATATGTGTATATATATATATATCTGTGTAAATATATATATATCAAGGCTGCAGTCCACTTTCCCACTTGCATCACAGTTAACTTGAAAGCTACCTGAGTGTGAATTTTGACTCTCTGTCCATTGCTGACTTTCTCAATCTCGAGTCAGGATTACTAGTAAATATGTCTTCCAAATGTTTGTAGTTTTTGCAAGAAAATGTCTGTTTCTGTGTGTTGTGGTGGTTGAAAACACTGGGACTACACAGCGAGTAGAAGTTCGAGTGATGGTTCTTTCAGGGAAAGTGGGAGTGGTAAAAGCTCAGCAGGGTTTTCATCCCTTTTCCAATGCAAGATCAGGCCCCTGTCTTTACTCAGATTGTTGGAATGTTTTAGGTACATGGGGATTTCTGCTTCTCAGCTCTTTTTACCAACTGCTTTTGATGATTCTGTATGTGGAGTGTCTTACACTCGCAGCTTTCATTCAGTGAACTTCAATGCATCTGAAGAAGTGATGAGTTAAATTGATTTTTCTAAGTTTCTCTGCAGAATAGTAATACTTTTTATTTCTCCACTACTTAGGTAGACTTTGTACAGCACCCAGGGGTTTACATTGGCAAGCCATGATTAGGTTTTTGTATCACTTTCTTTATAAATGTAAGGGTAAATAGCTTTAATTTCTTATTAACTTCAAAAATAACTTTGTCCTCCTTTTGTCTGTCTCCCAAAAGGTTTTTGGAGTGACCAACTGAAAGCATAGGGCTATATTGGTTTCAGTAGTATAGTAATGAACAGATAATAGAAAATGAATATGAATAATCCTAAATAAATAATAAAGGAAGACTAAATTTGGAAGAATACCAGTAGAACCTCAGCATGTCTCACTTAACAAATAAAAAGCTTGGTGGAATATAGTATTTGGAAAGCAAAGTCGGCAGTTGGCTGCAGAATAATCTTAATGTGAGTTATGATGTCCTGACTTTGGTTCCCATATGCTGAGCAGGAGGCTGGTACAGGGGGGAAGGACAGTGGACGTTGTGCTCTCTGGGGACAGATGTTGATGAACTGCTGCCAGGCTGCTTCTCTGCAAGTGTTTGTGAGGAGTGCAGAACCAGCTGCTGGAGCTGCTGCTCTTGCCTTCTCTGCTGCACTTCCTTCTGCTCCTTGCCTCTGCCACTGCAGGTTTGGAGGGGACCAGGGCTCATTGCTTCTGCCTTGTTTTACTGTCCATCTCCTGTTATCCAGCACTTCTCCCCCCCTTTTTTTTTTTTTGGCTGCTTCTAATGATGCTTTTTGTCTCTTTACTTTCAGTTCTCTGTTAATTTGCAGTAATTTCTCTGCAGTGTCAGTATTTTCTGATTTATCGTTTTCTCTTTTTCTTTCCCGTGGCTGTTTTTGTGTGGGTTCCCATTCCCCTCACATCTCTCCTGGCACTGTGTACAGGCTACATGTCTTTCCCAAAAAGAGCATTTGAGGGTTATTCCCTTGCACAGTGATCTGCAGAGCTTTTTGGCACAAGTAAAATATTGAACAAATAACTCTTTTAGGCAACATTATATCCTGTTGGTTTCAACTGTCATGGTGTTCCCTGGCCATAAGCAATATGAAACATCTTGCAGGTTTTGCATTCCTTGTGCATTTTATATTGTTGGCCTGTGACAAGGCAGGATTTTAATCACTTTTATATATTCCTGGTTTCTAAATCACCTTTCAAGAAAAAAGCTCTAAAGGTTGTTTGGAGCCCTGATACCTGCTGCTAAATCCTATATATACAACCCTTTTTTGGGAAGAATGGGAAGCAAATCAGGTTGCTTTTCTTTTAGTTGCACTTTCAGATTGTAAAACTTTAATAAGGGTGGCAAAAATCGCTGCATTCTGACAGCTGGCAGCACGTGAAGCAAGATTTGACTTTGTACCTCCTTTGTAAGAAGTATGGAAGAGTGGAGTGATAAAGACTTAGAAGGTCATGAAACAATAAAGGAACTGGGAAAATGGCAAAGGAATATGATCTGGATGATTAGAGGTTTGCAGTGTTTCTGTGGAAAGAGCCTTTGGTTTAGCTGGTGCTGTAGAGGAGATATAAAATAACCAGGTTTTGTGTGTTATGGTTGTATTAGGAATTTGACAGAATATTGAGATAATAACATAGTAGACTTGGATGCAGAATCTTTGGTTTATTGCTATTACATTTGAATTAGCAAAATAATTTATAAGGGTTCTAAGTGCTTATGCTACAGAACTAAAATATTGCATCTTTGAAGAGATCCCATGTGTATAACAGGACTGTAGTACTGCCATCACAATGAGGCAGTAAACTTGAACATACATACATCATTCCTGTCATATTTTAAAGAAATTAACTTTGCCAGACCTGTGATCAGCTATGCATGTGGAACTTCTCCTTTATCAAAAACTTAGCTACAATAACAACCCAGAAAAAAGAAGTTTTTCAATAGTCAGTCTTACTTGCAGTGGATTAATTGAATTATATTCTTAATGAACTACTAGAATTACCTGGTTATTCTGACTGAGAAATCGTCCCTGGGTTTTGTGTAAGCCCCAAAATGCTGGATTTTTCTGGTCCCTCCACAGGAGTTATTTCTCACTGTTGCAAAGATCGAAGTACTTGTGGCAGTGTCAGGGGCTGTTGTGTGCCCTGGCTGCATCTGTTTAAATACTCCATTTTCTAATCCTTTTCTGACCCCCCCAGGTGACATCCCGGTTGAGGTACCTGAGCACACTTTACTCTGGGAGCAGCTCCTGTTGGGAACAGTAACTGGGAGTGCTGGAGCTCTGGGAGCTCACTGTCAGTGGTGAAGAACAGGAGGAAAAGGCTGAGGTGTTTAACACCTTCTTTACCTCAGTTTTCAACAGTAAGTCAGGTTGTCCTGAGGACAGCTGGCTTCTGGAGCTTGTAGAAAGAGATAAGAATCTGAACAGCCCCCCTGTAATCCAGGAGGGAACAGTCAGTGACCTCAATAGCAAAAGGAGGGA